AGACTGACAACTCATGGGGCCCCCGGGCAATAGGGGATCATGGGGCCCCTGTGTCCTTGCCCAAACTCAAAAAAGCCTATGAAAAAGGTACCAAGGGCATCTCATGGGGCCCCCTACTGACCCGGGCCCTCGGGCAGTGTCCGAGTTTCCAAATGGTCAGTCCACCCCTGTATATATATATATATATTGTACATTCACATTAGTTCCTGCCCTCAAGGAGAGTACAATCCAAATGATACTAGCACATTATGTGAAACTTTCCACTTCCCGACCGCCCTATAACAGAAATACCGCTACAGGGCAGCAGGGCTGTGCAAAATCACGTATATATACTGTATGTGATTTCACATTTCTGGGTAGGGGGCGCACATGCGCGCTGCCCTACCTGCGCCGCCATTGGCAGCTATAGGTGTCGATCGCTGGGTCCTGGCCAGAGTTTCCCCACCAGCACCTGGCGATCGCTGAGGAACACTGACATGGGAGAGGTCACTGCTTTGTATCTCTCTGCACAACATGTCTGCCTAGTAAACCACACACAGCACATAGTTAACCCTTTGATCGCCCCAGATGTTAACCCTTTCCTGCCCAGTGCCATTAGTACAGTGTCAGTGCTTTTTATTAGCACTGATCACTGTATTAATGTCACTGGGGATGTCAGTGGCAGTTAGTCAGTTCCCCCCAGTGTCAGAATGCCCACCGCAGTCCCGCAATAAGCCGCTGATCGCCACCATTACTAGCAAAGACATGTAGCAGAATACATTTTGGCCTAAATTTATAAAGAAATTTAGTTTTTAATTTTTTTTTTTTACTGACAAAAAAGTCAAAAATATTGTTTTTTTTTTTTCAAAATTATCGCTTTTTTTTGTTTATAGCGCAAAAAATAAAAATTGCACAGGCAATCAAATACCACCGAAAGAAAGCTTAATTTGTGGGAAAAAAGGACGTAAATGTCATTTGGGTGCAGCGTCGCATGACCGCGCAACTGTCAGTTAAAGTAACGCAGCGCCGTATCACAAAAAATGGCCTGGTCAGGAGCGGGGGGGGGGGGGGGGGGGGGGGGGAATCCTCTGGAGGGCAAGTTGAAGCTCTCCAGCGGCGCGCTGTCACCACTGACAGGGATTCCATCTTCACTTGGTCCTTCTGGGTTCGCGGGCTCCGGCAGCTTGAATGGCCAAGCTGCAATGTCATCACTGACATGTGTGCACGCGGGGGTATCTTTTTACGGCACACAGCTCTGAAGGAACGGCACGCGCATGCTGTGCCTTCAGAGCGCATGTGCCGGTACTCTACACAGGTATCTCCTAACCGTGCATCATATAGGAGATATTTACAGAACCTACAGGCAGGCCATACTATAGGCTTCCCTGTAGGTACAAGAAAAAAAAATCTTTAAACCCAAAAGCAAACATTTATTATATTGCAGCCAACCAATTCTTAGATGTAATGGCTGCATTCGTTTTCTCTTTTTGACTTTCTTTTACCTGGAGATCCAGCCAGGAAGTCTGTTGTTTTTAACAGAACAAGCTCTCCTGCAGAGGTGGCAGTTACAGAGATGAGACAAACCATTTACCACTGACACGGGGGCTTCCAAAGATCAGCTTTTATTTATTTATTTATGTAAAACCTCAATCCCAAAAGGAACAAAACTGTTTGCTGTAATAAAGTCATAGCTGGAGTTTGGCTTCAATTTGTTAGCATATTTAAATCTGCTAGTACATCTAATAGTCCCCTTCCCCCAGACTGACAATGCTGCTTTCCAAAGGTGTCTCTGTTGCTCCTTCATCCAGACTGGAGGCACTTTAAGGTTTCATGCACACTAGCGTTTTTTTAAGCTAAAAAAAAGTGGAGAAAATGCTGGATAAATAACACTGGTGTTTTTTAGTAGCATATAGAAGCATTTGGGAGCGTTTAGGCTTTTGATTAACATTTTTATTAATCTCAAAAATGCTGGAAAAAAATGCTGAATAAAAAAAAAAAATACTGAAAATAGAGGGGTTTTTTGTAGCATTTAGAAGCATTTGGGAGCGTTTAGGCTTTTTATTTGTGTTTTTATTAAGCTCAAAAAATGCTGGAAAAAACACTGAATAAAAAATGCTGATAAAAAAAATTTTTTTTGTAGCGTTTAGAAGCATTTGGGAGCGTTTAGGCTTTTTATTAGTGTTTTTATTAAGCTCAAAAAATGCTGGAGAAAATGCTGAATAAAAAATGCTGATAATAGCGTTTTTTTTTTGTAGCATTTAGAAGCATTTGGGAGCGTTTAGGCTTTTTATTAACATTTTTATTAATCTAAAAAATGCTGGAAAAAACGCTGAATAAAAAATGCTGAAAATAGCGGGGTTTTTTGTAGCGTTTAGAAGCATTCAGGAGTGTTTAGGCTTTTTATTAACATTTTTATTAAGCTCAAAAACCGCTGAATAAAAAATGCTAATAATAGCGGGTTTTTTTGTAGCGTTTAGAAGCATTTGGCAGCGTTTAGGTTTTTTTATTAACATATTTATTAAGCTCAAAAAATGCTGGAAAAAACACTGAATAAAAAATGCTTATAATAGCGTTTTTTTTGTAGTGTTTTAGTAGCATTCAGGAGTGTTTATTAGCATTTTTACAGTACATGTAGAGGGGAAAAAAGCTAGAAAGAAGCTGTTAGGAGCGTTTTAGTAGTGTTTATCAGCGTTTATGAGCGTTCAGCATTTTTTGCTACTGGAAAAACGCTCCAAAAAAATCTACGGCTTCATGCTCACTAGTGTTTTTATTTTCCAGCTAAAAGAAGTTGGATAAAATACGCTGGTAATAGTGGTTTTTAGTAGCATTGTAGCCTCCCTAGCGGTCTGATTATGTCCATATTTCTGTGCTCAAAGCGGTACATTTTTTTGCATGGAAATATGTATTTTTTTTTATTGTAGGCCTGTAATTTGTAGGAATAACTCACTGAAATCTGTCCGAACAAGAGTCTAGTAAACATCCCGGGTAGGATAAAATTATAAACACGAAATCATAAATTATAATTTAATAAATAATCATAAAAAATAATAATATAATAATAATAAATGTAATTCAATAATATAATCAAACCAAAAACACTGAAATTTGAAATATAGCGCCAAGTTCGCACATCGCTGAGCAAAGTCGCAAAATCGTTTTCAGTGTCTGATGAGGAATTTCCCCCACAAATCATTATCACTCAATTCTGCAAGTGGTTCTGATTTACTATCGCTGTTCTCTAGCCGGTCTAAAACCGCTTTTGACCTAAAGGGACGCTTTTTGGACGCCATGGACATTTCTCATTTTCCAGGCAGAAAGAACAGTAAAAATGCAGGCAGGGCGCCGGACAAAGCACTCGGGACAAAATGTATGTGAAATGGGTTGATACAGGAATGTTATACTATGTGATTTTAGTGTATTTAGTGAATGTCACTTTTACAATTTTCCGCCGTTCTGTCCCCCGTACATCCCGACGTCGCAGGGAACGGAACCCAGAAGACAGATGCCGGCATCGGCCGGAGGACATTACAGGGGACACTGCAGGGGGGACATCGCAGGAGCGCAGGACAAGGTAAGTGAAGAAGAGATCCCGGAGCAACGCTGCAGTGTATTCCCGAGTGTAGCTCGGGGTTACCGCTTGTGGTGCTGAAACTTTACCCCGAGCTACACTCGGGAATACCGCCAGGGAGGTTAAATACCGCTAGTCAAAAATACTTCAAAAACTCCTCAATATGAACGTAGCCTTAGTCTTCTGCCACACATAGCGTCTTGCTTTAAGGCCAAAAAGTTCAATTCTGGTCCCCTCTGACCAGAGCACCTTCTCCCACGTTTGCTGTGTCCCCCACATGGCTTCTTGCAAACTGCAAACGGGACTTCTTATGGCTTTATTCCAACAATGGCTTTCTTCTTGCCACTCTTCCATAAAGGACAGATTTGTGGAGTCCACGACTAATAGTTGTCCTGTGGACAGATTCTCCCACCTGAGCTGTGGATCTCTGCAGCTCCTCCAGAGTTACCATGGGCCTCTTGGCTGCTTCTCTGATTAATGCTCTCCTTGCCCGGCCTGTCAGTTTAGGTGGATGGCCATGTCTTGGTGGGTTGGCAGTTGTTTCATACTCTTTCCATTTTCAGATGATGGATTGAACAGTGCAAAGTGAGATGTTCAAAGCTTGGGAGATTTTTTTGGAACCTAACCCTGCTTTAAACATCTCCACAACTTTATCCCTGACCTGTCTGGTGTGTTCCTTGGCCTTCATGATGCTGTTTGTTTACTAATGTTCTCTAACAAACCTTTGAGGGCTTCACAGAACAGCTGTATTTATACTGAGATTAAATTACACACAGGTGGACTCTATTTACTAATTAGGTGACTTCTGAAGGCAATTGGTTCCACTAGATTTTAGTTAGAAGTATCAGAGTAAAGGTGACTGAATACAAATGCACGCCACACATTTAACAGATTTATTTGTAAACAAATTTGAAAACCATTTATTATTTTCCTTCCACTTCACAATTATGTGCCACTTTGTGTTGGTCTATCACATAAAATCCTCATAAAATACATTTACGTTTTTGGTTGTAACATTACAGAATGTGGAATATTTCAAGGGGTATGAATACTTTTTCAAGGCACTGTAGATGAGAGTATTTTATTACCTCCATGTACATGCAGCTTATCTGTCCCTAAAAAAAGAATATAAAACTAATTTGGGTATACTGTCTTCTCTGATCCTCCCCTTCTTTTACTATACCGAATCCTTCTACCATAGTACAGAGCAGCAGTGGCAAGTCTGCACATTCTTAGTTTGGTGTGTATTACTAGAGAGTATTTTTTTTGGGGGAGAGTGCATGTGATCAACACAGGGCCAATCAGCACTGTCCATACTGAGAGCCAGGGGTCATGTAGCCTCATAGGACAGTCAGAGGAGATTGAAAACTCCTCCTACAAGCTTTAACATGTGCTCTGCTGGACACTGATAGAAGTCACAAGACTGTTATATACTGCTGTTGAGAAAAGGTATTTAGCAGTTAGTATTTACTAAAATAATTGCATTTCCATGTTTTGTGTGCTGTGGGAGACCAGATATAGTGAATGCAAGGTCCATGGAGACCAGATATAGTGAATGCAGGGTCCAGGGAGACCAGATATAGTGAATGCAGGCTCCCCGGACCCAGCATTCACTATATCTGGTCTCCCAGGACCCTGCATTCACTATATCTGGTCTCCATGGACCCTGCATTCACTATATCTGGTCTCCCCGGACCCTGCATTCACTATATCTGGTCTCCCAGGACCCTGCATTCACTATATCTGGTCTCCCCCGGACCCTGCATTCACTATATCTGGTCTCCCAGGATCCTGCATTCACTATATCTGGTCTCCCCGGACACTGCATTCACTATGTCTGGTCTCCCAGGACCCTGCATTCACTATATCTGGTCTCCACGGACCCTGCATTCACTATATCTGGTCTCCCCAGACCCTGCATTCAGTATATCCGGTCTCCCCAGACCCTGCATTCACTATATCCGGTCTCCCCAGACCCTGCATTCACTATATCTGGTCTCCCCAGACCCTGCATTCACTATATCTGGTCTCCCCAGACCCTGCATTCACTATATCTGGTCTCCCCAGACCCTGCATTCACTATATCTGGTCTCCCCAGACCCTGCATTCACTATATCCGGTCTCCCCGGACCCTGCATTCACTATATCTGGTCTCCCCAGACCCTGCATTCACTATATCTGGTCTCTCAGGACCCTGCATTCACTATATCTGGTCTCTCAGGACCCAGCATTCACGATATCAGGTCTCCCAGGACCCTGCATTCACTATATCTGGTCTCCCACAGTACACACAACATGAAAATGCAATTGTTTTCGTAAATATAAACTGCTAAATACATTTTCTGATCAGTAGTTGGAGCAGTCTTGTGACATCTATCAGTGTCCAGCAGAGCACTGGTTAAAGTTTGTAGGAGGAGTTTTCATTGCTCTCTGACTGTCCTATGAGACTGCATAACCTCTGACTGGATGGTGCTAATTGGCCCTGTGCTGATCACATGCACTCTCCCAAGGAAAAAATCCTCTCTAGCAATACACACCAAACTGAGCATGTGCAGAGTGACTCATAGAGCTCTGTACTATCAGCAGATGGATTGAGAAAAGAAGAAGGGGAGTATCAGAGAAGACGGGATCAAACATCCTATTTACACAAAGTGGAGGATTAAACCCATTAGGTTCCACAGTGAGTATAACAAGCGTGCTTTACTGCATCTACAGACTGATTGTACTGTTGTGGGTTTAGGAACACTTTAATCTCTAAAGTAGCCAAAACAACTTTGCTACAATTTGTTCTCCAAAGGTTGCTATTTTCCTAACCTATAGAACAAGTCATTGCAATTTTCCCTTTAAGGAGTAGGGCGGGCCTGTGACACCGAGAGCAGAGATGCCCACTGTGACACCGACACCGGTCAGGAAAAAGTACTGGGGGCCCATTGGCTGAACAGGGGATCTTAACCAGTGTATGGCAACCCCTAAGCCCCCAGGCTGTACCAGAGAAATCTAGTGGATTCCCCATCTACACTACACAACGTATATGGAGGAATCCCCCCTGCTGGATATTATATTCTGACAGCTGCCAGAATACCGGAACAAGCGGCTGCATCTGATTGGATACAATCAGCGATTAATCTTCCACCCCGCTGCTTCAACAAAACTCCATTGGGTGGTGCCAACTGGGCCATCCACAGAACCGATTTGGAGCCAATTCAGCCGGAATGATGAGAGGAAATTCTGTGTATGGCGGCCTCAACCCCCTACAACCTGAAGGTGCAATATCCCGATCTGTATTGTACAACCCCCCCCCCCCCTGGGACATGCCAGGGAGAGGTCAGGGGGCACTTTCTGTGTCAGTGTTTATGTAGCACTACATGTGTGAGTGAGGGCATGTGCCAGTGTGTGTGTCACTGTACATGTGTGTCACTGTGTGTCTGTGTGTGCATGTGTGTCTGTGTGTGCATGTGTGTCAGTGTGTGCATGTGTGTCTGTGTGTGCATGTGTGTCTGTGTGTGCATGTGTGTCAGTGTGTGCATGTGTGTCTGTGTGTGCATGTGTGTCAGTGTGTGCATGTGTGTCTGTGTGTGTCACTGTGTGTGTGTGTCAGTGTCAGAGTGTCAGTGTGTGCATGTGTGTCAGTGCATGTCACTGTGTGTGTCAGTGTGTGTGACTGTGTGTGTCACTGTGTGTGTGTCAGTGTGTGTGTGTCAGTGTCAGTGTGTGTGTGTGTGTCAGTGTGTGTCACTGTGTTTGTCACTGTGTGTGTGTCACTGTGTGTATGTGACTGTGTGTGTCAATGTGAGTGTGTGTCAGTGTGTGTGTCACTTTGGTGTGTGTGTCACTGTGTGTGTGTCACTGTGTAACTGTGCCAGTGTGTGTCACTGTGTGTGTCAGTGTAACTGTGTGTGTCAGCGTGAGTGTGTGTGACTGTGTGTGGGTCACTGTGTGTGTGTGTCAGTGTGAGTGTCAGTGCAAGTGTGTGTCACTGTGTGTGTCACAGTGTATGTGTGTCAGTGTGTGACTGTGTGTGTCACTGTGTCAGTGTGTGTCTCTGTGTGTGTGTTACTGTGTGTCAGTGTGAATGTGTGTCACTGTGTGTGTGTGTGTGTGTCAATGTGAATGTGTCACTGTGTGTCAGTGTGAATGTGTGTCACTGTGTGTGTGTGTGTCAGTGTGAATGTGTCACTGTGTGTGTCAGTGTGTGCGTCACTGTGTGTCAGTGTTTGTGACTGCGTCAGTGTGTGTGTCACTGTGTGTCAGTGTGACTGTGTGTGTCAGTGTGTGTGACTGAGTGTGTGTCACTCACTGTGTGTCTGTCAGTGTGAATGTGTGTCACTGTGTGTGTCAGTTTGTGTCCCTGTGGGCGTGTGTAACGGTGTGTGTCACTGTGTGTGTGTCAGTGTGTGTCTCAGTGTGAATGTGTGTCACTGTGTGAGTGTGTCACTGTATGTGTGAGTCAGTATACGTGTGTGTCAGTGTGAGTGTGTCACTCAGTGTCACTCACTGTGTGTTTGTCAGTGTGAATGTGTGTCACTGAGTGTGTCACTGTGGGCGTGTGTAACTGTGTGTGTGTCAGTGTAAGTGTGTCACTGTGTGTCAGTCAGTGTGATTGTGTGTGTCAGTGTGACTATGTGTGTGTCACTGTGTGTGTCAGTGTGTCACTGTGAGTGTCACTGTGTGTCAGTGTGTATGTATCAGTGTGTGAGTGCATGGGACAGTGTCAGTGTGTGTCAGTATGGGTTTGTCAGTGCATGTATTTAATTTGTGTCAGTCTGTACATGGCAGTGATTGTGTCAATGTGTATGTATCAGTGTGAATGTGTCAGTATGTGTGTATGTTAGTGTGTGAGTCAATGTTAGTGTATGTGTCTGTTTGAATGTTAGTGTGTGTATGTATGTGTGTCAGTGAACATGTTAGTGTGTGTCAGTGAGTGTCTCATGGTGTTTGTGTCAGTACGTATGCGTGTGTCAGTGAGTGTGTGTATTAGTGTGTGTGTCAGAGTGCTTGTGTCAGTGTGTATGTTAGAGTGTGTATCAGTGAGTGTGCATGGGAGTGTGTGTGTTTCAGTATGTGTGTGTCAGTGTGCAGTGAGTGTATCAGTGCTCTTCCTGTGCTCCTGTCCCTCTTCTTCCTGTAGTGTGTTAGTGTCAGTGTGTAGTGCAGTGTGTCTGTGCTCCTGTCCCTCCTCTAGTGTGTCAGTGTGCAGTGAGTCCCAGTGCTCTTTTTATGCTCCTGTCCCTCTTCTTCATCCTCCTGTAGTGTGTCAGTGTTGGTGGATCTGTTTGCAATCAGTGTTTGCGTCAGTATATCAGTGTGTTGGTGTCAGTGTATAGTGTGTCTGTGCTCTTCCTGCACCCTGTCCTTCCTCTTCCTCCTCCTGCACAGTGCAGTGTTTCAGTGTGTTGGTGTCAGTGTATCAGTGTATTGGTGTCAGTGTATCAGTGTGTCTGTGCTCTTCCTGCACCCCTATCCCTCCTCCTGCACAGTGCAGTGTATTGGTGTCAGTGTGTCAGTTGTCTTGCTGCACCCCTGTCCCTCCTCTTCCTCCTCCTGCACAGTACAGTGTATCAGGTGTCAGTGTATCAGTCCTCTTCCTGCACCCGTCCCTCCTCCGGGACAGTGCAGTGTATCAGTGTGTTGGTGTCAGTGTATTGATGTCGGTGTATCAGTGCTCTTCCTGCACCCGTTTCTCCTCCTGCACAGTGCAGTGTATCAGTGTGTTGGTGTCGGTGTATCAGTCCTCTTCCTGCACCCGTCCCTCCTCTTCCTCCTCCTGCACAGTGCAGTGTATCAGTGTTGGTGTCAGTGTATCAGTGTGTTGGTGTCGGTGTGTCAGTGCTCTTCCTGCACCCCTGTCCCTCCTCTTCCTGCACAGTGCAGTGTATCAGTGTTGGTGTCAGTGTATCAGTGTGTTGATGTCAGTGTATCAGTCCTCTTCCTGCACCCCTGTCCCTCCTCCTGGACAGTGCAGTGTATCAGTGTGTTGGTGTCAGTGTATCAGTGTGTTGATGTCAGTGTATCAGTCCTCTTCCTGCACCCCTGTCCCTCCTCCTGGACAGTGCAGTGTATCAGTGTGTTGGTGTCAGTGTATCAGTGTGTTGATGTCAGTGTATCAGTCCTCTTCCTGCACCCCTGTCCCTCCTCCTGGACAGTGCAGTGTATCAGTGTGTTGGTGTCAGTGTATCTGTGCTCTTCCTGCACCCGTCCCTCCTCTTCCTCCTCCTGCACAGTGCAGTGTGTCAGTGTGTTGGTGTCAGTGTATCAGTGTGTTGGTGTCAGTGTATCAGTCCTCTTCCTGCACCCGTCCCTCCTCTTCCTCCTCCTGCACAGTGCAGTGTGTCAGTGTGTTGGTGTCAGTGTATCAGTGTGTTGGTGTCGGTGTGTCAGTGCTCTTCCTGCACCCCTGTCCCTCCTCTTCCTCCTCCTGCACAGTGCAGTCCTCCCCTCCCCCTCTCGCTCTCAGTTTCTTTTCTTTCACTTGTTTCCATTTTGCTACTTTTTTTCTTCTTTTTTTTCCTCCATTTTTTTGCTGACATTTATTTAGTCCTCCGTCAGTCAGACTGGCCCCTCCCCCGTGCATGAAATTAAAGCCCCCCCCCCCGCTCCCGGTCCCCTCCTCCTCCCTCCCGGATCAGACTCCCCCCCCTCCTCCCCCCTCCAGCTGTCAATCACAGCCGCCTTTGAACTGGATTCCTTCCAGAGGAACTTCAACCGACTGAATCCGGCGAGCGGAGCGGAGTCCGGGGCGCTGCCTGCTCTCGGCTCGGGGGGCTGTGTGTAGTTTTTGGGGGGCTCGGTTCGCCTTGTGCGGGACTGTCGGGGGTGCGGTGGGGAGGAGGAGGAGGAGGGGGGGCCCCGCGGATCGGACAAAGACAAGGAGATCGCCCCGCG